AATCAGTTCAGACAGTTTCCCATGATGCCAGCATTTTCGATGATTATTAATAAATCACAAGGACAAACTCTAGACAGAGTAGGAATATTCCTACCTGAACCCATTTTTGGACATGGTCGGTTATATGTTGCTATCTCGAGTTCGAAAAGCATATGATGTTAAAGTTGTAAATACTTCATCACAAGGGAAATTAGTCAAGCACTCTGAAAGTGATTTTACTCTTAATGTGGTATACAGGAAGATATTAGAATAAGTTTAAATAAATTTATCAGTCATTCTTTGTATCAATGTTGTTTTTATATCATGTCTTTGTTGATTTTATATCATGTCTTTATTGTTATGTCATGTTATTTATTAATCAATGTATATATTATTTTCATATACATTTTACTAATTTTCTTTTACCTCTGATACTTCTATTATAGAGAAAGGATGAATAGCGATATTAAAATATTCTAATTGATTTCCTTTCAATGTGCATGAATCCATGCATCGTGCCACTAGTTACATATAAAATGAAAAGCTTGTCGAAACCGGTTTGGCTCAGTGGTAGAGCATCGGTCTGCGAATTGAAAGGTCCTGGGTTCGATTCCGGTCAAGGGCAAGTACATTGGTTGTGGGCACATCCCCGGTGGGGGTGTGCAAAAGGCGGCTGGTCGGTGTTTCTCTCTCATCGACGTTTCTAGCTCTCTATCTCTCTCCTTACCTCTCTGTAAAAAAATCAGTAAAATATATAGTTTTAAAAAAATGTAATCCTTAAAAAAAAAAAAAATGAAAAGCTCCTTGAGAGCAGAGGATGTGTCTGACTCATCATAGTGTTTCCTCGTGTTAGGCGTCCAGGCGCAGTGTCACCTGCCACTCTGCACCTGTGTACGCTGTCTCACTTTTCACATGGACAGTCCCTAGGGGTGACATGGTACTTCCTCGTGTCTCCTTCACTAACCCACAGATCCACTCAAACGAAAGTATTGGTGAGCTAGATAGATGTCACTGGAGATTTTATTCCTGACTTGCCTACCCATCATGACGCTCAGCAAACTAAATGGCCTGTAGGACCCACCTTCTCGGAGGCAGAGGGAGTCTAGAATGAAAACAAAGCAAAACTTACTTCCAGCGCCCTCGTTTATGTTGACTAGACTTCTGTACAGAGGAGTTCACTCCCGGTTTCTTCTGAGCAAATCCTTCTTAGTTCCCGCCTTTCATCTGGCAGGCTGGCGAGGACTTGATCAGCAGACCTCTCTCTCTCCACTCTCTCCAGTGATCTCAACCCATCCCAAGGCTTTAAGTGTCATTCCGGTCTCTGTTTAAATGTCACTTCCTTACAGACCTTGCTTAACAACCCTATCTGAAATAGCACACGTGTGCATGCACCCAGACGCACTCAGCCTGCTTTATTTCTCTTTATAGCTACGTTATTTTTTAAAAGTTATTGTCTGTCTCTGAAGGCAGGGACTGTGTCCTGTTTACTGCTTGTCAGAACTTGGAGCGGTGACCTAGCACAACAGTTGACAGTCAACTAATATTTGTTGAATAAATGATTTTTTTTTTTCCCTTTGGAAATTCTCAGCACCCTCCTGAGGTGTGGCAGGACCGCCATCATTGGCCTGTTTACAGAGGAGGCATCTGGCTCAGAGGGGTTAAGGCTTTGCCTGAAGTCTCAGGGCTGGGACGCAGGAGAGCCTGCTTGTTGAGAGCCACGTCTTGTGGGACTCGCCTCCCAAGAGGGTGGCCTCTGTCTCGCCTGCTGAGGCTGCGGACAGCAGGTGACCTGGAAGCAGGTGGATGCCTCCTCTGGGCTGTTGGGAGGGGCCTCACAGACACCCTGAGTGCTCACTCTCTTGGGAACATGTAAGTAAAGGAGCAGCGTAAGGCCCACCTCGGACACGCTGTCTCCGTCTCACACGAGGCACTGTAGTTTCTCCTCCTCTGCAGGTCTCTCGCTGCAGGTGCACAGACCCTGGGGGACCTTCGTGACTGTTAATTCCATAGCTCAGGCCCCAGTGGCAAAAAGGAAGGACGAAGCTCGAACACATAAAAAAAAAAAAAGTGTTACTTGGTTATAGAAATCCCTGTAGCCGCCTGGATCCCCATGGATTTGTGTAAAACTGTAGTAAATAAAGCCAAATGGGACAAGGGGGATGTGACACTTGCATGAAAGGAAATCCTCCTCAGCTCGGCGAGGGTCTGGATTCTATTTTTCTTACGCCAGTACCACACTGTCTTGTGGTTGACTTGTTGAGGAAGTCTAGAATATGTTGTCTTTTTTTTTTTTTTTTTTTTCAGAGTATTAAGTTTTATTCTAGCAGGCAGTTAAGATGCTAGTGGGTCCCATCAGACTTGCTTTTATTCTTCCAATTTGAGTTTATTCTTTTTTATATATATATTTTTTATTGATTTTTTATAGAGAGGAAGAGAGAGGGATAGAGAGTTAGAAACATCGATGAGAGAGAGTCATTGATCAGCTGCCTCTTGCACACCCCCTACTGGGGATATGCCCGTAACCAAGGTACGATACATGCCCTTGACCGGAATCGAACCTGGGACCTTTCAGTCCACAGGCCGACGCTCTATACTTGTTCACGGCAGAAGAACGAATCCACTCCCAGTTGTTCTGTCAAGGCCTGAAGTGGAAGTGAAGTGGAGGTTCAGTTTGGGATGAGGTGTTAGTATCTGTGGAACGTTGAAGTAGAATTTGCCCACCAGGCAATTGGGTGTTCATGTGTGGAGACAGTCGGGACGGGAGATTTCAGATTCTGTAGTCACAGATTCGGTGGGAGTTAAAGCCAAGAGAATGGTGTGGCTCAGCGGATAGAGTGTTGGCCTGCGGACTGAAGGGTTCCAGGTTCAATTCTGGTCAAGGGCACGTACCTTGGTTGCGGGCACATCCCCAATAGGAGGTTTGCAGGAGGCAGCTGATTGATGTTTCTCTCTCATCAATGTTTCTAACTCTCTATCCTTCTCCCTTCCTCTCTGTAAACAGTCTATTGGGGAGGGGGGGGGGGGGTGGAAATGCCTAGAGAATGAATGTGTTCACTTAACTACAGAATGGTTAGAGAAGGAGTAGAAGAACATTTTTCTTTTTAAAGAACCAGAAGCAGACATAGCTAGAGAAGTAGGTGAGGAACTGGAGCCTTCACCATCACAGAGACCACCCTGAATAAATGGCATTCACCGGGGGAGACAGCTGCCAGGAGCCTCTTTTCTCTGTATCTGTGATGCTTACCAACCCAGAGACCAGCTCTCCTCCAGTGCCCCTGAGACTTCGTCAAGTTTCACCGGGCGATCATTAGCGAAAAGCCCGCGTGCGTAGGCTGCAGTACTAACCTTTAGCATTAAAGCTCAGGATTTCTCCCAGGCATAATCATACATCTGTGCTTCCAGCCTTCCTGGGGCTTAAACAGCTGCAAGCATGATCATCGTCTCCACAAAGTGGAGAGGAGGCCCTGAGAGGTTAATAAAGAGATTAAAGTCAGGCGTGCCCTGCTTCTCGTTGGCTAGAGGCTTTATAGGGTTTCAGACTTGAAAGCTGCGCTCACACAATCCCTTGTTTTCAGGTGGAGAAACGAACCCTCACAAATGAAAGGGCTTGAAGTCGAGATAAACAACAAAAATTCAATGAAGCCAGCTAAAGCAAAAAGGAACATTTATTATAAGAGTACAAAGGTCGCTGATGGAATTCAAAAAGGCGAGGATAAAGCTGAGCTTTGAGGAAAGCCTGGAGCCATGACTAGAATGCCCTTTGTTTCCGCCCTCTCTCTGCTTTTCTTCTGTTTACGATTTGTTCTCTCATTTTAGACCAGCTTCTTGTGCACCATCCCCTCCCCCTCCCATAAAAAAAATGTTCACCAGCAACTGTTCCTGGGTGTATAGCTTAGGAAAGAAGTGACCCATTCCCCTCCACTCAGGAAGTCAGCCTGGTTCTAGAATTACAGCTCATGTTCCCCCGGAGAAGGTGGAGTCATCCAGAGTCCCGTCCGTTGCAGCCAAGGGCCTGGGGTAGCGTACTTGAACACTCATTGCTGGGGGAGCCCTGCCTCTGTGTCCATGGACACACGTTGCTGGGGGGAGGAAGAATAGTTTCCAGATAAAAGTGAGGGGGCCGATGGCTGCGCAGCCGGCCCAGCAGATGTTTAGGACACCAGGGTTCCATCAGAACATCACCAGTGGCAGAGCCAGGACCAAGACCCTCAGCCTCTGATCCAGCCGCAGCCTTTCCTGAGGCTGCCTCGCGCGGGGAGCATTGGTAATCGCTCAGTCAGGTTACGAGGAGGGACAGTCACGTGGACACTCACTGCCTCCGTTCTTGTTCCTGTCGGTGTGAAGAAATAGAGGCCCTGCTCTGGGCGTGCAGGGATCCTGAGCTCTGGAGCCGTCGTCCCAGCCAAAGGCAGGTTCCCTCTGTATTAGTGCAAACATAGTCACCCGGCTCAGAAACCCAGATCAAACCAGCCTAAGCACAAAGCCCATTGGAAGGCCACTGAGTCCTCACAGGACTGACGGGAGAGCAGAAGACTCTCTGGAAGGGCACCCACAGGAATCTGGAACCTGTCCCTCCAGGACATGAACATATGTCCTCACTTTTTTTTTTTTCTTTCGATTTTTATCGTTCACCTCTGATTTCTGCTTGGCTCTGGTACGGACCACAAGGTTTCCTCTGCACTGTGGGGCGTGGGGCTGCCAGTGGTCCTGGAGTCATACCCATACCCCTGTCTGACCAGAGAGAAAAGAGTCTTCCAGGTAGGAAAATCCCAGAGAAGCTTTCTGATTGAGGGGGTGGAGTCCTGTGATTGGCTGGGCCTTGCTCCCTCGCTCATCGCTAGGGCCAGAAGGAAGGCAGGGGTATTTTAAGAAGGGAGACCTCCCCACTCCCTTCCGCCCTCTCTGAGGAATCGATGGAGAAATAGCCTCACTCCTCAGGTGAGGATTATAAGAAAAAAAGAAAGGAAGGGGACTTCAAGCAGAGTCAGCAAAAGCCTCTTGTCCTGTGTCTGTCTCCCCAGGTGACCATGGAGACCGGCGGGCTCCCCCTGGAGCTGTGGCGCATGATCTTGGCCTACCTGCACCTCCCGGACCTGGGCCGCTGCAGCCTGGTGTGCCGGGCCTGGTACGAGCTGGTCCTCAGCCTCGACAGCACCCGCTGGCGGCAGCTGTGCCTGGGCTGCACCGAGTGCCGCCACCCCAACTGGCCCAACCAGCCCGACGTGGAGCCCGAGTCCTGGAGGGAGGCGTTCAAGCAGCACTACCTCGCCTCCAAGACGTGGGCCAAGAACGCCCTGGACCTGGAGTCCTCCGTCTGCTTCTCCCTGTTTCGCCGGAGGCGGGAGCGCCGGACGCTGCGCGTGGGGCCGGGCCAGGAGTTTGACAGCCTGGGCGGCGCCTTGGCCGCGGCCAGCCTGTACGACCGCATCGTGCTGTTCCCGGGCGTGTACGAGGAGCAAGGGGAGACCGCCCTGAAGGTGCCCGTGGAGATCGTGGGCCACGGGAAGCTGGGGGAGGTGGCCCTGCTCGCCAGCATCGACCAGCACTGCTCCACCGCGCGCCTGTGCAACCTCGTCTTCATGCCAGCCTGGTTCTCGCCCTTCATGTTCAAGGTGGGTGCCCGCCTCGGAGGATGGCCTCTCCAAGCCCGGCCCCGAGCGTGGCCTCTTCTCAGGGGACTTGTAATCCCCCCACCCCTTTTTTTGTTGTTGTTGTTGGAATGGAGAGTTTAACTGTTACTGCTCTAGCACACTCCTCCGAGTTCTGCTCCAGCTGAGAAGTAGGCACAGGATCAGTAGAGATGAACATGCTGCTTTGTTCCTGGCAAAGCTGTATTAAACATGAGCCTTGGACTTTGAGCTCGAAATTGTTTTGTACTTCTTCCCTTCCAAACTGGGTCAACCGAAGCCACAGGGGGAGCAACGCGGTAGGACATCCGGGATCCTGGAGCGTGCCACTTGGTGGCAGAAAGCGGAGAACACTTTGGCCGCGTGCCCAGAGGGAGCCCGGGCTGGGGGTGGGGGGACAGGGACCTTCAGTGCATCTGCCCCACGCTGTGGAGGGCCAAGGAAGGCCAGTTTTTACCAGGGGTGACTGGAGAGGGTCAGGACATATCAGTCCCAAAACTTTCCTCCCAGGGACACAGAGCAGAAGTTGTGTTCACAGCAAAGCCTGTACGGAGGTGCTGGTAGCTCCTGGCAGAGAGTCTGCGGCTTTTCCATTGCCTAGAAACTAATTCCAATCCCTGGATTAGGTACCTTGTCAACAAAAATTATATTGCTACTTTACTACCAAGGACCGCTAAATCGTCCTCTCAGGTTTGTAATGATCATCATCCCAACAATCATTTGTGATGCGCTCACTATTGCTGGGCGTATGTTTTTTAGCCATTGTTGTTAAGATGGGTTGTAGTATCTGGTTTATAGATGAGCAAACAGAGGCTCACCAAGATTAAGTGACACACCCCAGTCTCAGATTTATTAAGGGACTGAGATAGGTTCCAGAGTCAGTGCTCCTAATCCGGGCGAACGTTTCTGCTAGTATCAGTTTCCACTCGTGTCCCCGCCCCTTTGGGATCGGATGGAGGGAAGGGCAGGCAACTCCAAAGTATCTGTCTTCCCTCTGGTGCAAAGTGGCTCCCGGGTCCCTCTGGGCATCCGCTGGCACATGCCCTCGTGGGGAAGGGGGCACGATCAGCAGGGCGCATGGCTCTCCGTGCCCCACCCTCCGTAACGAGCAGCCGGAGTGCTGACCCGCTACGCAGATCTCATCCCTGTTGTCTTCACGTTCTCTCCTTCACTCCCCAGACAACCTCAGGCCACGTCCAGTTTGACAACTGCAACTTCGAAAACGGGCACATCCAGGTGCACGGCCCCGGCACCTGCCAAGTGAAGTTCTGCACCTTCAGAAACACCCACGTCTTCCTGCACAACGTGCCCCTGTGTGTGCTGGAGAACTGCGAGTTTGTGGGCAGCGAGAACACGTCCGTGACCGTGGAGGGCCACCCGTCCGCCGACAAGAACTGGGCCCACAAATACCTCCTGGGGCTCGTCAGGTCCTCCCCCAGCGTGCTCCCCACCGAGGACTCTGACTTCCTCATGTCCCTGGACCTGGAGAGCAGGGACCAGGCCTGGAGCCCGAGGACCTGCGACATCGTCATCGAGGGCAGCCAGAGCCCCACCAGCCCCGTCGCCAGCTCCCCGAAGCCAGGCTCCAAGGCCGGCTCCCAGGAGGCGGAGGTGGGCAGCGACGGGGAGAGGCTGGCCCAGACCCCGGAGGGCAGCGACGGGGGCCTGAGTCCCAGCGGCGAGGAGGAGGAGCAGGAGCAGGAGGAGGAGGAGGAGGACCAGCTCACGTACCGGCTGTCCTACCAGGTGCAGGGCCCGCGCCCCGTCCTGGGCGGCTCCTTCCTGGGCCCGCCTCTGCCTGGAGCCTCCATCCAGCTGCCCAGCTGCCTCGTGCTGAACTCGCTGCAGCAGGAGCTGCAGAAGGACAAGGAGGCCATGGCCCTGGCCAGCTCCGTGCAGGGCTGCCTCATCCGCAAGTGCCTCTTCCGGGATGGCAAGGGGGGCGTCTTCGTGTGCTCCTACGGCCGGGCCAAGATGGAGGGGAACGTCTTCCGGAACCTGACCTACGCCGTGCGGTGCATACACAACAGCAAGGTGCTGCCCTACGGCTCCTCTGCAGCGCCTGCGGCCCCCCGGGCCACTGGGACATGATTGATGGATGGATGAGAAGTCTCTCATGGCGATAGGCAGGGGAGGGGGGGGAAGGCTTGGATGGGGCTATTTTGCATTTTTTTAAAAAAAAAAATCATATTTTTCTTAACCGTTTAACCCACTTGCCTTCTCTCCATCATCTGATTTTGGGGGGAGGAATAGCTATTTTTTTTTTTTTCCATTTTGCATCATGATAGAGCCCTAGTGGTAGCTGAACTGTGGCCTCAGGGCTTTTTGCAGGAATTGGGCAGCCATGGAATGAAGCATGCAGCTCTGAGTCTCTGGGCAGGAACCTGAAAAATGGATAGTTTTTTTTTTTTTTACTATAAATATATGTATAGTCAAAGGATAAAATACACACACACACACACACACACACACACACACATATATATATATATATATATATATATATATATATATATATATATATATATATATATATCCATGGTGTATCCTGAGCATAATTATATGCTAAGTGGCATTAATTCAAGCAGGGGGCTGTGGGCAGCCATGCAGGGCTTGCTGAGCTGATCCCTGTGCCCAGGAGGCGAGGCCCGATCCAGCGAAGAGCCGGGCGCTCAGCTTTCTCAGGCAGGGGGGTATGTGCCAGGGCGGGTAGGAAGTGGTCGATCTGGAACTTGATTCCATTCGTAGCTGTGTCCCTGGACCCACGAGGGAATCTGTGTGCAAGCCCCAACGCACGCTGAGTGTGAGGACCACGGAGTCCCATCTTCTCTCAGGGTCTTTGCCATCCCGACGCCCAGTTATTCCGCTCGGACGCTGTGGCTCTGAGGAGGCTTCGGGAAAGAACCGGCGTGAGGCCGGGGCAGGGGCGGAGCGCGGCCGCGCCGACCCCCGGGCGCTCCTCTCGCCGCCGGCAGGTCGCACAGCACAGGCCAGGCTCCGGAGGAGGCTCGGTGCCCCTGAGTGATTTTTTTTTTCTTTTTCTTTTTTAATCCTCTGTGACAGGAAAACAAATGGCTTTCTCTCCCCTGCTTAGATCGTCATGCTGCGGAACGACATCCACCGCTGCAAAGCGTCGGGCATCTTTCTCCGCCTGGAGGGCGGAGGCCTGATCGCCGGCAACAACATCTACCACAACGCGGAGGCTGGCGTGGACATCCGGAAGCGGTCCAACCCGCTCGTCCTGGTACTCCCCGCTGCCTGCACCTCTTCGGGGGGCTCTGGCTCCTCAGAAACCATTTCTGGGGATATTCACAGCCGCGTCGCCGCCTTCGTGCTTTCTGTGTGCAGGGCTTCCCTGTCCGTTCCCCTGCCGTTTCCCCGTCAGTGAGAAAGAGGTCCGGTCACAGGGGGAAACCCCAGGCCCTGATAGGCTCTCTCGCTGGCTTTTGACTTTGGTAGGAATTAAAGATGACGGTGCCTGCCCTGAAAAATCACGTGGATCAGAAATAAAACACCACGTGAGTTCATTCTTTGCTATAAAAAAAGGAGATTTCGTGCTGAAGGTTGTTTGTTTCATGGATATGGTGAGTTTGGTTTGGCACCAGGGTGAAAGCCACTTAAAATCCTAGCCTAGCCCTGACTGGTTTGGCTCAGTGGATAGAGCGTTGGCCTGCGGAATGGTTCGATTCCGGTCAGGGGCATGCGCTTTGGTTGTGGGCACATCTCCAGTAGCGGGTGTGCAGGAGGCAGCTGGTCAAAGTTTCTCTTTCATTGATGTTTCTAACGTTCTGTCCCTCTCCCTTCATCTCTGTAAGTAAGTAAGTAAATACATAAATAAATAAATAAATATCTTACTTAGCCCATGAGACTAGCGACTTGAGAGACCAGCCCCTTTTCTGCCCTGGCCTTCCCGGGACAGGCTTCTGAGAAACTGGGAAATGTGACGGACTTTTTATGGACCTGGAAAAATAATACCCACCCTTCTGTTAGTGCTTAGTATATGCCAGGTTATTCTAAGAACTTTGTATATAATTATGGTTTACTCCTTACACAACCCTGTGGGGTAGAATTATTATCCCCATTCTGTAGATGAGACATCGAGACACAAAGAGGCTGAGGATCTTTCCCCAAACCACACAACCAGTGACGGACGGAGCTGGGGTTTGAATCCAGGCAGGCTGGTTCAGGGTTGATGTTCTCAACCCATTATGTCTAAGCTGCCCTGGACATGCAGAGAAAGGAACATCCTAACTAGTTAAAGTGACATGCCTGGCTGTGTCTTCTTTCTCTCGCTGTGTTTGCCCGGCAGCTGGTGTTGGACGCATGACCAGGGCGCTGCTGTTGCCAGAGAGATGAGGCTGCCTTTCCAGTTAGTGGGTGGAAATGGGAAGGGGGTATTGCTGATCAGTCCTGGCATTGTGAAAGGGCGTGGATGGAAATGTGACTGCATACCCTCTCTCTCAGAGCTCTCCACCCTGGGGACATCTGTTAGGCTGTAGTTGCCCTGGTGCGTCGGCCCAGCCTGTCAGGAGAAAGTCTGAAAAGTGAGTAAGAATAGAAGAGCTAGCAGCATGGAACACTTGAGAGCAAACCAGAATGTTCTGTGAAAGAGAAACAGCTAACTTCCTGGTTTCAGTATGGGATTGTGCTCGGGGCTGTAAATGAACAATTGGAGTGAAACCATTGTATTATAACTTATTATAATCTAAAAATGGTGTCACTGGGCAAAAGCAACTGACTGCCTGGGAGACAGAAAAAAAAAACCCACACACCTAGATTTCAAATCTGGCTCTGCCACAAACGAATGACCTTGGGCCTGTTGCCCTTTGGTAGGAGGAGTTAGAATGATTATCTCCAAGGTTCCTTGTAGCTCACACACGTCTGACCTCACATCCCATGGGATAGCTAAGCTCCCCAGAGCCGTACCTTCCCCTAGCCCTCTCCTGAACAAGAACCGTGGACCAGACGCCACATGGCTCTCACCCTTCCCCGGATGCGACCCCCTTGGGTTGGCCAACATTCTCGAGTCCTGGGGTGCCGCCTGTTCCTGAAGGTAGCCCCCCCCCCCCCCCCCGGCCCTGGGAAGTGTGGCGTGGCCAGGCGATTGTGTGTGGGAGCTCAGAAAGTTCCAGGAGCGTGCCTGCCGGCGAAGAGCAAGAGCCCCCAGCCATAGGGCCGGCGAGGGACTGGAGACTCCTGTCTTCGGGGTCTGCCTGACCGGGTCCACGTGCGCCCCTGTGCAGGGCAGGGGGGCTCCTCCGGGGACCGTGCTTCCTCCGCTGAATGCGTCCCGGCCCGCTGTGGGGTGGGGAGCACTCTGCCTCAGGCTGGCCCTGTCTGATCTGTCCTTCGTGGCGTCTCCTGTTACTTGCAGTGTAACCAGATCCACCACGGCCTTCGCTCCGGCATTGTCGTCCTTGGCAATGGGAAAGGCGTCATCCGGAACAATCAGATCTTTTCCAATAAGGAGGCCGGCATTTACATCCTGTACCACGGAAACCCAGTGGTGAGGTAGGCGCTGCTGTCCCCCGACCGCCCTGCCCACCGCGGTGCCTTCTTCCTTCCCTTCCTCATCGCTGCTTCCCTTCTCCCGTCTTTCCCCCGTTTGAGGATGCTTTTTGTTTCCTAACGCAGCTGTACAGACGCGAGCACAGAAGAGTCTGCGCCCAGACTCCCACCATAACACAGCCATTTTGTGTTTCTGTGTTTTCTTCCAGTTAATAACCCTGCAGCCATTCTAGTCAAGTATTACTGAGCGCTTCTACATTATAATGATAACAGGTATCAAGGGCCAGACGGGAGCTTACTCTCTTCTGGGAGACACACGTGCCCGGAAGAGATGTTAGCTCGGGTCAGTGGATAGTGGCCACCAGGGACGCTGTGTTAGGATTCGGAGGCTACATGTGACCTCGGCGTGAAAGCACGTCGCGGTCAGTCAGGGTGGGCGCTGTCGGTGGAAGGGGCAGTGGCACTCTGGGACCATGGATCTGCCCTCCAGGCTGTCTTGTGGGACAGACTGGGATAAACACTACACAGTATCAGGAGAGGGTGCGAGCCATTCTGCTATTTGTGCCATAGCAACAAGTATGTACACGCACAGCTCCCAGGGAGGGGATGTGTGGGAAGGCCCTCTTAAAAAGGTGGCATTGGTGCCCTAACCGGTTTGGCTCAGTGGATAGAGTGTCTTCCTGCAGACTGAAGGGTCCCAGGTTTGATTCCGGTCAAGGGCATGTATGTCCCTTGGTTGCGGGCACATCCCCAGTAGGAGGAGTGCAGGAGGCGGCTGATCAATGTTTCTCTCTCATCAATGTTTCTAGCTCTCTCTCCTCTCCCTTCCTCTCTGTAAAAAAAAAAAAAAAAAAAAAATCAATAAAATATATTTAAAAAAAATAAAAAGTTAGAAGGTGGCATTGGGCCCTGGCCGGTGTGGTTCAGTGGTTCAGCATTGGCCCATGAACCAGGAAGTCAAGATTCGATTCACAGTCAGGTCACATGCCCAGGTTGGGGGCGTGCAGGAGGCAGCCAATCAATGATTCTCTCTCATCAATGATGTTTCTCTCTCTCCCTATCCCTTCCTCTCTGAAATCAGTAAAAATATTTTTTATAAAGTAAATAAATGTTGTTTGTATGTGGATGCCAGTCAAGAGAGAGACCACGGAGCCTTGTGCTTCCATGGCATGTCTATCGGTGTAGTTTTAGACGGCGATAACCGAAGATTGCTAAATGCCGGGCTTCTGGGACTTCAGGAGGAGCTTTATGCTGCTGGGGGCTTGAGCCATCTGGGGAAGCCCACGACAGAAGGCAGCCACCTTGAGTCGGCATTGTCTTTGACGCATGATATGGTCTGGCCTCACCTGTCTTGTTCTCCTTACATTTTAGTGGGAACCACATTTTCAAGGGCCGTGCAGCCGGCATAGCCGTGAATGAGAATGGCAAAGGCCTCATCACAGGTAGGTGGGGATGCTGGAGCCTGGCCGGTCAGGTAGTGGGCTCTGCCTCCCCCTCTTCTTACTCCCCCCTCCCCCCCCCGTCCTTCACCCGGACAGACTGGCCTCCTGCTGGTAGTGGCTAACTCGGGGACGCTGGCCCAGTGCTCACAGGATCTCACTGGGTGGCTGGCATCATGCGGTCAGGAACATATATGCCACACAACATGTCTGAACTCCTCTTGGCTTTTGTACGGGCTCCTGCCTGCTCTGGACACCCATCCCCATTTCCCCTCACCCTGCAGGTCTCAGCCTGGGTGCCACTTCCTCAGGGAAGCCTGCCCAGACCTCCCCTGTACACATACTGGTGTACACTGACTATACCCAGGAGCCCTGCTCTCCAGACAGGAGTCAGGGACACAGCAGTGAACCACACAGACACCATCCCCGTTCCGGGAACTGACATTTTAGGAGGGGGAAGCAAATAAATAAGTAAAAGCACACATATGCAAGCAGGAGAAGTCCTATTGAGGATGATTCGTGCTCTACAGATACTTGGAATAAGGAGCCAGAGGGACTTTGTGGTGTTTAGATTGGGTGGTCAGGGCAGCCCTTTCTGAGGAGGGGGCTTGTAAGCCAGTACCTGGATGGTGAGAAGGACCCTGGGAAAAGACCTGGATTCCATGCAGGGCCACCTGTGGGAACAGACCTGGCGTGGCCGAGGAGCCGAGAGATCGAGTGTGTGACTGGAGGGTGGTGAATGAGGGGTGAGGGTTTGATTCGGGGTCATAGAGGCAGGAAGGGGCCAGTCACACAGGGTCTCGTGAGCCATTGCACTCTAGTCCCAGCAGGCTGGGCGTCTGGCCCGCCTCAGTGCCGGTGCAGATGGTCCAGGACCACCCTCCGGCTGGGATTCTCCAGCCCACTCTGGGCAGGGAAGGGGCGGGAGAGACAGGCTGCAGTCAGAGCGGAGGCTGAGGACAAGCTAGCGCCTCCTTTGGCTGGTGGGCGAATGGCTGGGTTCTCCCCCTACTCTAATCCCTCCCCCTCCCCCCGCCCACCCCCAGGGCAGACATCCCCTGCCAGGCCTGGCTCAGGGGCTCCAATGCCCGTTATTCTTAGTCATCAGTTCCCAAGGCCACGGGTACAGTGGGCCCTGGGAACACAGGGGAGCACAGACAGACACAGAGCTGGCCTTGGGGAAAGCAGATAGCAAACGCGTCCCTGAGACGCCAGGGAAGGTTTGGGGTGCTGCCTGGGTAAGCCCCGAGCTTCCTGGTCCAGCTTGTCCCTCCCCTCAGCTGCCCACGTCCTCGCCGCTGGCGTCGCAGGCGGCCTGTGGCCTTGACCCTGGCGTTGGCCTCTCCCTAGAGAACGTGATCCGGGAGAACCAGTGGGGCGGCGTGGACATCCGCCGCGGGGCCGTCCCCGTGCTCAGGAGCAACCTCATCTGCTTCGGCTACTCGGACGGCGTGGTCGTGGGAGACGAAGGCAAAGGGCTGATAGAAGGGAACACCATCTACGGTGAGGAGCCCCTTCCGGGGGAGGGGCCTGGGGCCCGGCCCTGCCTGGGAGGCAGGAAGCCAGGACCCTCCTTTGTGGGTCTGAGGAAGCTGTGGCCTTTCTTTCCCTGGGCTTCAGAGACGGCGTCCGATCTCAGGCCGCGTGACACGGCCCCTCTCAGAACCCAGGAGCCTCTGGCACATCACCATGTAACCAGAGCAATCCCGTGGGGTCAGCCACGCAGGAAGCGTGGTCTCCCTTTAAAACGGCAGGAGGCAGGAGCCCGGAGTTGTGTGAGGACAGGGCCGCTTTGGCGTGGATACCTGAGCATCGTTTCCTGTGACCCAGAGGACTGGAGATAACAGGGGAGAAATAGGATCGTCCTAGGAAGCAAGCTGTTCTCCCTCTCACTCTGGCTTTGGGTGAAAGCCCTGGTCGGCACACTGCAGCTCGCGAGCCACATGCGGCTCTTTGGCCCCTTGAGGGTGGCTCGTCCACATAATACCACGGCCTGGGCGAGCCTGTTTTGAAGAAGTGGCGTTAGAAGAAGTTTAAGTTTAAAAAATGTGGCTCTCAAAAGAAATTTCCATCGTCGCACTGTTGATATTTGGCTCTGTGGACTAATGAGTTTGCCGACCACTGGGTTAAACCCTTCGTCTTTCTGAACGGTACATTTGATGATGTGTGATCATGATCGCAGCTAACTGGTTCACACCCAACCCTGCGAAGCCCTTTCTACGCATTATTGCATTTAATCCTCACGTCTGCCTTCTGAGATAGTTAACTCCATTTTTAAAGGAGCCAGAGGCAGGGAGAGGTCCCATCAGCTACTCCAGGTCACATAGCTAGGAAGTGGTAGGGCTGGGGTTCAAACCGAAGCCGCCTCTGTCTCTTCAGGGAGGGGTGGGGCTAGATGAACTCTGTGACCCCTTGGGCCCCGTCACTGTGGGCTTCTGTGCTTCTGACCTGGGGCGTGGCCTTGACGTTTCCCAGAACACCGTTCCACCCGACAGAATGATCTTAGTCGAAAGACCTTCCTGCCACTTTCCCTCGCGTTCGGAGGAGGAGCCTGCAGCCAGAGCCTGGGATCTGTCCCAGGCCTTTAGCAAACCAGGGACTGTGGCCAGGGCCGGTGCTTCCCCTGGGGGGGAGACGCCGGAGGTGATCACCCTGTGCTCGGTGTCGGTGACGGGCTGCTCTCCTGTCCCAGCTAACAAGGGCTGTGGCGTGTGGATGATGTCGTCCAGCCTGCCCCACGTCACCAGCAACCACGTCAGCTACAACGGCCTGTACGGCATGGCGGTGTTCAGCCAGAAGGAGGGCGCCAGGGAGCTCCCCGGAGGCCACGGGGCCCAGGAGCACTTCAGCGAGGACGGGGACGCCGCCCTCTGGGAGCCCGAGCTGGAGAAGGACGAGGACCCGCTGCGCCAGCCCCTCGCCGTGGCGCTGGTGGAGTCCAACAGCGTCAATCACAACGGAGGTGAGTCCCCTCGCCCTCCGCCCCATCCACAGCCGCTGAGGTCTCTCCGCCTCCGTGGCCCTTCCTGCCCTCCGGCCTCTCCGGCCGCTTCCTTTGTCCGCTCACCCGATGCCCCCGTCCCCGGACTTGAATCCATCCTTTCTTGTCCCCCAGCCTCCGGCTTTGCTCATGCTGCTTTCCTTCCTCCCGTTCACACAGCCCAGACACCGTGAACCTCCGAGCCCCTGGGGACTCGCCAGCATCCTTTCCTCCTTCGCACCGTGCCCTCCCCACCCCAGGGGCACGTGTTAGTTAGGGGCTGGTTTCTGCTGTTTCATCACTCTGATAGGTTGTGAACTTGAGGCAAAGTTGGAATCCCACCCACATGGGTGCCCTCTCCCCTGCAGTGCCAAACCCACACCTGGCAGGCACATTGCTAACCAATTTTGAGACACCTTTTTCACATTTTAGCATCTTTGATGAGATGTGTCTTGCAATTGATGGCATATCATGGTTTAATTGGCAGTGATTTTTCTTAGCTGTATAGAAAAATAAGTTTTAAATCTATGTTTTCATTCATTTAATAAAAAATGATGATAGTCGGTATTTCATGTTTATTGAATTAAAACAAAACAAAACAAAAAACTTACTGTGGCGTTATCTAACCCCAGGACTCCTAACAGGGCTGATGGCCAGAATCACTGTTGAGGGCTAGTGGAGGAAGGCTTGTTAAAAAGAGGTGAACACTTAGAAGCATCCAACAGACCATCCAACCTCAGAAGGCAGGCAGGAGGGGGAGGTGGAAGAGAGCAACTACAGGACCTGTGTGCCTGCATGTAAGCATAACCCATGGACACAGACAGTAGGGGAGTGAGGACATGTGCTAGAAGGTAGGAATGGTCGGGGAGAGGTCAGTAGGGGGAAAAGGGGACATATGTAATACTTTAAACAATAAAGAATAAAAAACAAGAAAACAAAAGAGGTTACCAGGCTCAGAAGCTCATTCCTCTGGGGGTAGCAGAGGTCAGGGCAATCTGTGCAGGACAGGAAAAGCTGCATACATCCACAAACTCTTCATTTGCACTTGCTGTTCTCAACCACGCAGGAGAAGCAACAGGCAGGTACCACCAAGAGATTTGAACTCACAGCTCAAATTGCTCCCATGTGACCCCATCGTCAGCCTCCCCACTCCTCCCGCACTGCCCCGTACCACACCGCTTGCTCTAGTGGTGGCTGGATGTCCCTGGGGGTCCATCTGTCGCCACGTTGGCCGCTCTGAGCCCCCTCAGTTTGTGCTTTTTTCTACAAATACCCCAAACAGCATTTTCTTTCCAAAATTTCTAACACATTTTAGACACATATTACTTAGTTTAGTAAATTTTTTTTAATTCAAAAATTATAGAATTTCCCGTATAATCAAATTTCTCCAAACAGTGGGGAGGCAGATGCCAGGTCAGAATGGGAAAGAGAACAAAACAGCTTTCCAGCAGGGAGGTCTGTGTGGAGCTGGGATGGTGGTGAGGGCGCCAGCACAGGAGGTGCTCGTGGCGTTGGAACTGTGATGTGGGTGGCGTTCAGTACAGGACGGCCTGGGCCTGCGGGATCTTGCATCCTGTTTCCCTGGCATCTTTCACGGGGACTCGTTTCAGGAGGAACAGCATTTTCTCCATGTTCCCAGGTTTCCTCCTGCTCTGGGTGTCAGCCCGCCTGGAAGCTGCAGCTCCCAGGGGCTGGTTCTGAGTGATGCCGTCTCTTCTTCCCTGCCTCTCCCCCAGGGGCACAGCTCCAGGAAGGCTTTTCCGACGGGTGCTGTCAGGGCTGACCTGGGATCCCCTGTGCTTTCTCTGCTCCCCACCCCTCCACCTGCAGCCTCAGGACTTTACATCCAGAGCAGCGAGGCGCTGCATGTCATCACCAACGTGATCCACGCTAACGGGGACAGAGGCATCACCATAGCCCAGAGCGGCCAGCTCACCCGTGTGGCTAACAACAGCATCTCCTGCAACCGCCAGAGTGGGGTCAAGGTTGAGGCCCAGTGCAAGGTGGAGCTCCGGGGCAATGGCATCTATGACAACAGAGGCCATGGCATCATCACCAAGGGTGACAGCACCGTCGTCATCGAAAATGACATCATTGGCAATCGGGGCAGCGGGCTGCAGCTGCTGCCCAGGTCCGACACTAAGGTGAGTGTGTGTGTGTGTGTGTGTGTGTGTGTGTGCGCGCGCGCGCGCGCGCGTGTGCCCATGTGTGTGTGCCCTTCTCAGCCTGGAAGACAAAGATGGGACTTCACACAAGAGGGGACATATAACTGAGGGATGAACAGTTACCAGCAGGAAGCTAGGGTGAGGGTGCCACCTGGGGTAGCTTGTGGGTCCCCAGGTCAAGGTCAGGGCTGTTCTGGATTTCTGCTAACAGAATAATCTCACAGGGACCCTGTGTGCGGTATGGCAGGTGTTTCATGAGGAAAAAAGTCTGGCCTCGGGGCCTTTGCACACACTGTTCCCTGTGGACCTGGGACACTTCCCCCTCTTTTTCTATCTCAGTCCTACATCTTGGCTGTGGCTTTTTTCGGGGGGCCTTCCCTGCGCCCCCAGGCTATGGAGGCACCCCTTTTCTGGACTGGAAGGTGCTTCTTCCCACCCCCACCTCAGAGAGCACTTCCCACGGTGCTTTGTCAACGTGCCTTTGCTTTTCTGTCTCCCGGTGGGACAGTGAGCCCTGAGCTTGCTTTTTATGCAAAGCGCTGTGCCGGGTGCCAGGCTTTCAAAGTTGAGCCAGTCCCTGCCCATGTGAGTGATGATCCCAAGGCCTCTTCAGCTGTGTGGCTTCATGGCTAGTGACTTAGGCAAGCAGGAAAGACGTCCTTGGCTTTGAGTCTGAGCTGTGGAAGCTGTTGCCTCAGTTGGATTCCTGTGGGCCTTGGCCTCTGGCACCACTTCCCCTCTCTGCCAAGCCTTTGCACATTTTTCCTTCTTCCTATTGCCTCCCTGCCTTTGCCTGTATCTGATAAACTCCTACAGCTTACCCATCACCTCTTCCAGGAAGCCTTCCCTGCTCCTCCCATACTCCGCCCTGTCTGCCTCGATATCCCTTCCCTGAGCTCCCATGGCTCACTGCTCACCGACCTAGCATGCTCTTACCTCATTTTATAAACACTTACCCTACCCATGTGACAAGCTGCCTGCCTTCCCCAGGTGATAAAGAACCGGATCCATTCATTCCGGGCCTATGGCATCGCCGTGCGGGGCCGCACCAGGGCTCTGGTGCAGGAGAACATCTTCTTCCAGGGAAAGACCAACAAGACCATCTTCCAGCAGATCTCAAACAACCGAGAATGCGTCATGCAGAACAACAAGTTCCTGGTCTTCAAGAAAAAGTACGTGCCTAAGCCAACTTTCTAGAATAGGGGTGTCGAACTCAATCAGAGAAGGGGCCAAAATCTAAAATCCAGCCTAAATCGCGGGCCGAATGGTTTACTGAACAGTCATAAACTGTCATTGTGATGGAAACGCAGCGGAGTGCAGTGATGACAGCGTGGTGCGGGCCACATTGCAAGGCCTGGCGGGACGGATTTGGCCCGCGGGCCTTGTGTTTGACACATGTGTTCTAGAACCTCAGTGAGGTCACTCGAGAAGCCAGGCCCAGGGGTTCTGTTGCCCTTGCTCCCTGCAGTCCTGCCAGCTTCCGGCTCTGGCCAGATCAGGGCCTGGGCTGAGGAGCTGCACTTGACTCCCTGGGAGGAAACAAGCTTTCATAGCAAGGGGAATGTGATTTCAAATCTCAGCTCTGCTGGTTACTTGGCTATGTGACCTTGGGCAAGTTATTCAATATCTCGGAGCCTTAGTAAAATCTAGTTAGCCCTGACCAGGTGGCTCAGCTGGTTGGAGCATTGTCCTGTACACAAAAAAAAAAAAAAAAAAAAAAAAAAAAAAAGTCCAGAAAAGGGGTGCCTCAGGGCATATACCCAGGTTGCAGGTTCAATTCCCAGTAGGGGCGTGTTCAGGAGGTATCGGATGGATGTTTCTTTCTCACATCAATGTTTTCTTCTCTCTCTTCCCCCACCCCCTGCTCTGTAAAAATCAATAAAAACATATCTTTGGATGAGGATTTAAAACATAGAAATAGATATAGATATATAGATACAGGTATCATACAGAATATAGTATTTTGAGTCTTCTCAGCCGAATGTCCTTAGATTTGCCCATGGTGTCGCCTCTGTCGTTCCTTCCTTTTCTTGCTGAATTGTGATCTATTGTATGGCTATAACATTTACTGGTTTTCCATTCATCAGCTGTAGTTTTTAGTTTGTGGTGATTGTAAATAAAGATCCTGTCAATTTTCATGGTTATCCAGCTGGGGTGGGGAGAAGGGAAAATGAAAGAGGAGAAAAAGAAAGCCACTGATCTTATCCAGATCCTTACCAAGAGGGGAGGTTGGGGCTGCTGAAGGGAACTTGCCCAAGATCACATGCAGGAGGCACACCTGGAACTAGAATGCAGGACTTCTGCCCTTTGGCCTCACCAGCGTGGGAGACAAAAACTACACCTAGATTTAAACACCTGCATCCAGTGAGCTTGAGCCAGCGGTAAGATTTCAGGCATTCAGACAAGTTTTCACTCTTAGACCCTGTTATCATCTTGCATCTTCAGGTCTGATACATGGCGGCTCATGAACCCACCAGCACGCCCTCACCTTGAAAACTCGCTCCGAGGCCCTTCTGCAGCCCACAGCGGGCAGAAGGTGGCCGCCATGGCGACCAGGATCACGGCCCGCGTGGAAGGCGGGTACCACAGCAACCGCAGCATCTTCTGCACTATCCTGTGAGGACGGAGAGCCACGGGCGGGGCGGCTAGAGCGCGGTCCCGAGACTCTGGGAGCAACGACCACGTCCCGTTCCCGGGCTCAGGCCACCAGCGCCAGCCGAGCTAAGAGGTGAGGCCTTCGGGGTGGCAGAGGCCTCGAGTCTTCTCAGACTCCGGATCCTTTCGCCATGCCCCTGGGAAACGGGCTCCCAGGCCTCCTGGGGACCAAGGACCAGGCACCTCCAAACCCCTTCAGCTCCTCCGCTATCAGTAGGAAGGCACCTGAGTTTCTCAAAGAAAAAAGGAACAGACTTTGGGTTTCCAGTCCCTCCAGCTCCTGTAGATGATGAGGAGTTGAGGAGACTCAGTGCTGAAGCTGCGGTCAGGTTTCCTGTTTGAGTTACAGGGAGCTAACTGCGTCTCACACACACCCAGCAGGCTCTCGGGGGAGAGATCCACTCCCGACCGAGGGAAGTAATTCTAGTGAGGTGGAGACAGCTGCCCCAGGCCTCCCCTTCCCCCGTCCCTCCAGGACACCACACACCCGCCCAGCTGCCTGCCGGGGCTGGAGTTGAGTTTGGTTTCCTAAAGGACATTGTTTTATACTTAAATATGGGCCTATGATGGAGGAGGGGCTTAGGAAAGGGAGCCCCTCTTAGGCTGATCTAGGGATGACACAGGACATGTCAGAACAAGAGGGACTTCCTTCCTTGCAGTGCCAGGCTGGGCAGTGCAGGACACACAGCTCCCCTCTAGCCTCCAGGGGCTCCCAAGCTCGGGAGGACGTTAGCTCGGTGCCTGCTGCACAAGGACTCGCGTCCCACAAGCACAGCCACACTAGCGGCCCCCTCCTGGGCACCAGACTGGTGGGGGTGCAGGTACCTCGGGCCCCTCGTCGGTGTCCATGTTCTCATGGACAACCACCTGCCTTTGCTGACCCTTATGTGCCTTGGCTCATGCTGTCCCCTTCCTGGCATGCTCTTTCTCCCTCTGTCCAGGCCCCCCCCATACATGTGTAGCTCAGACACTGCCACCTCCACAGAGCACTCTCCTCCCTCCAGGTGACGGTGGCTCTTCCTGCTGAGCCACCCTGTCCTTTCCCGGCCCCCTCAGGTACGGAGCACTTTTCGCCTGGTGTCATCCAGGTCCACCCTTGTCCCACTCGCCTGCATAGGGCCCCATCTCACTGTCTTTGCTACCCGCACCCAGCCCAGGTCTGGGGGAGGGTCTGTGGCCTGAGTGGGCAGAGGAAGGCCAGTTGCCAAAGGGCTTCGCTGAGCTGTACTGTGAGTGTCAAGGTTCTGGGCAGGCGCAGACCCTGCCCTGGCTGCTTGAGGAAGGGGGTTGGATGCAGGAGCCCCTGGACCTGAACTCGGCCTTTCATGCTAGGCCTTCACCAGCCTGTGGGGGTCGCTGTCGTGCACCTCACCAGTGGCTTCCCAGGCTACTTTTGCCAGGCCCTCAGTGCTGCTCTCCAGGTCCCCGGTGGGGTGGGAGGGGGCTGGGGGGAGCCAGGAGCACTGGCTTCTTGAGGACTTTCCGCACAAGAGCGCTGGCCCCTCCCGTCCCCACTGTCCTTTGCACTTCTCTGGTGGCCCCAGTGTGAGTCGCTGTACAAAATGCTGCCTTTATTATTTTGTAAGAAACGACTTTTCTGTGAACCAAGCGTTTATGAAAATCTCAGCAACTAAAATAAAGTTCTATATTTTAAGAGAGGCAATTTGGGGGACTTTCCTTGGTTGGGTTTATGCCGGAGTTCCCAGGCAGCCGGGTGCAAGACCTGTACCATTCGCCTCCTGAGGCTTCCTCTGAAGGAGATGGAATGGAATCCCAGGCCACCCTGTCCTTTCAGCTTGTTCCCACCGCAGTTACAGTTTCCGAGGTCTGTTTCCTGGAGCATCAGTCATGGAGGGTGTTGTGGCCCTGCCTCCCGGCTGTGGGCTTTGTGAAGATCAACAGTGGCAGCCCCTAGTGTGGGCACATGACAGTCTGCAGACTCCGCGTGCCTGCCTCTGGAGTCCCCCAGTCCCATTGGCCCCGCAGGGCTGGCCCGAGGAGCAGGCAACTCTCAGATGGCGGCTGCCCAGCTGCCTAGGACTGCCTGAGACCCAGGTAACCAGGGCCGGTGACAGAGGTGTGATGGGGTGTCGCCTCCCGCCCGAGGGCTTCCAGACTGTGAGAGCGGGCAGGCCTGGCTGAGGGAACCCCCCTCCAGTGCATAAATTTTCATTCACTGAAAAAATAAATACGATTCCATTATTCTGCAAGTGTTTACCTCGGAATAGCCCTGCCAAGGAAAGAAGGTGCAATTTCATGGACTATGACTCATTCAACATACACTACCTGCGTCAGGCACTGCGCTAGCTCCTTTCAGGAGACTGGTTCAAGTTGAACAAGGACCCTCTTGAGCCTTTTAACCCACAGGCCTCTTATGTACAGAAATGTGCTTTTCAACCTCTGGGAATGCACCGCCTAATTTAGTGAGGTACACCTGCTGTCACCCAGGACGAGTACCTGCCATCCTCGACTCTTCCCTGTCGTACCACTGCTCTGTGTGAGTGACCGAAGACAGGCTGCGTCCTCCGGGACAGAGGTGCTTCAGAGGCCTGGTCACACGCTGTGACCCAGACATTCCTGAAATTCCAAGTGACAGCCCCTCAGAATCGAAGAAACATTCATGAAAACACATCCTGCCCCATCAGCGCATAAGTTCTTTTCCCAGAGACAGATCAGGAATGCAGAGTCACATACTTGATTTTCACAACAGGTTAGATCAGGGAACACAAAAGAGGCATTTAGATTTCCTGCTCACGCCTCTGCGGGAGACAGCGGATGCTACAAATGCCCACTACCTAGGATCAGACACGAATGAGACAAGCCGGAGAAGAGCATGAAGAATGCACACGTAGGCATGGCCTCGCTCCAGAAGGGGCTCTCCTAACAGCTCCCAGAGCTCGAAGAAACACAAGGACCACCTGTCAAGTGAATCATCTAAGAATCACTTCCACCACCTTCACCGATGGATGGCCCAGCTGCTGCAGAGACTTCCTCCTCTCTCATTTTCAGAGATGAATTCTGCCTTCCTTCCTTCCCTGCTCCTCGCTCCCCAGCACTGAGCACCACAAACCTTAGCTGCTCCCAGAAAAGACTTGAAGATCCGAGTCTGCATATTAGCCACGCACCCAAGTCTCCATATCGCATTCCCATTCCTCATAGCACCCCCCTCATAGCACCCCTCGGGACACTGGCTTCTCCGTCTCCCCTGGGGCAGACAGGCTGCTGGCGGCCAGAATCCGTTCCCATCTCCTTCAGGTATGCCTTCCTGTAACTAGAAGCTGGAGAGCTGACACCTATTTCCAAGGCTCCCCTGCTGCTAGGATTCTAGATGCAAATTAGGTTCCTACATAAGCACCCACAGAAGGAGACAACATGGAAACCAGCTGCTTGATCTTTTGGTAACTTGTGCCGACGAGCAAGGGGGTGGAGATGTGGATAAAAGCATGGATGTCCAGTCACAGCTTCGTGAATTCAGCTGTGGGGCAGAGTGGTTTCCTGATGCCTGGACGGGAAGCCAGCAGTGTGCTCTGCCCTGAGCAGTTCTGAGGGCAACCTCCTGATTCCCATCCTGCACCCCTTTAACAACGTCACAGCTCACCCATGTCCTCAGCTCCTTTCTTAAGAAGATGTGGTACAATCAGTTTTCTCTGAGACCTTTGGGCTCTGGCTTCCCAAGCCCCACCTCCCACATCACCACATGCGAACCAACACGAGAACCATCTGCCACTTATAATCACAGCAACAGCGGAGGGAGACCAAGTCCGATGTGGTGGTCACTTTATGTTTTTGCTTAAGACAAGCATGACTGAGAGGCTGGCTCTGGCTTCACACCCATGCCAGAGCAAGGCTTCTTTCCCCCGCTTTTTAAAAACATGGAAATGAACAGAGGAAGAGGCTCTTATTGGAAATGACAGAGAAGAGGCCACGCTTCTCCGTCTGGAAAGCACACTCTATGTGATTCTCCTCCGCTTTGCCTGGCGGTCTGAGGTCTGGGCTGGAGGCAGCGGGATGCACAGAGTGCCCAGCCGGTGCTCCTCCTCCCTGCCGGCCGCCAGAGACACCTTCCTCTTGGAGATCTTCAGCCTCATGGCTCTTGCTATCTCGAGCATCCTGAGGAACAGACACATAACACAAATGGAGAGTCTCCTCTACGTCACTGCTCAGGGAGGGGAGGGAAGGGAGCGGCGTGCTGGTGCTCCAGGCCAGGAAGACAGAATCCCCAGAGTGACCCCCCGGAGAGGCGGATGAGATCCACCCAGAGCCTTCAAACAGGCAATTCCATTTTCATGTGTGGCCATGAGAGTATCCTTACAGGTGATTTCAACCCAGGTTCTCTATCTAGACCCTGTTAATAAACTTGGTTTACTCCCTACAACGAGGATGGAACACCTGCTAGAAGTGTGCTGAGACAGCCTCTAAGAACCTTCTGATTCTCACCATCACTGCCTGTGAGAAGGCACACTGGCGGACAGCCCTCGGAATAGTCCCTCTGTGGACTGCTAGGCCCAGACAGGGGTTTACAGGCCTCTTGAACATCAGGTGCTTGGGTGTCAGATGCCCCTAAAGGATCCATTATTCGGAATCCTGGGAATTCTGCTCCTACTCAGCTTGAATCCCTTTCTGAAAGGTCATCTCTGCCAACTCTCCCAGTCCAGGAAGAGCAGCCCCAGTGTGACATCCCTGCCAAACAGTGGCCCCACCGCCTGGCAGCCCCTTCCATCTGACTCTGAGAAAGGTCTTTTTGCGAAGATGAAATTGGGTTCTTGTAACTTCCACCCCTGGGCTCCACCCCCCAGGACCATACAGACTCTCCCAGAGAAAGGTATTTGGAGACGGGAGGCTGCCTGTTACACAGGACAGAGTGCTATGGGAAGGCTCAGTTGTGAAGCCCAGTAATTCCCCTCTGGGTTGTGTGACCTCATCTATTACAGTCATTCACGCACTGACAACTGTCCTCTAGTCCCAGGTCTTTTCCCTACTAAACGTCCCCAGTTCTCCTGCTGGAGCCTCGTGCTTTCCAGCAGCACCAGGAATATTGCAAGGCACCCTGAAGAGCCTCTGTTCTGTGTGCTCACCTTTTCTCACTGAGCTTCAGGTCCCTCTGTAACACTGTCAGGTCAACCTGGAACTCGTTTATATGCAAGGCGAGTATGATCACATACGCAATGATCTTTGCCTTCATAGAATCGGAAATAAAGTTGCGTAAACTGCAAAATCAATGACAATAAGAGACCAAAAATTAAACTCGAAGATTTCTTCAAGAGCAAAACAAAAACATCCAAACCCATCCCCATAGGTACTTAATGTCTTCCCCATCTTGGGGAGGAGAAATGAATTCAAGCAACTCCTTGTCCTTCAAGGTGCTCAAGCCATCATGCCAATCCCTGCGCTCCCTCCAAGGGGGACGGAGAAGGCCACGCCTACTGCCCCAAGCACAGTGAGAGCCCCACGACTGCTGAGACCCTCGCTCCTGCCTGCTTGCCTGCTTAGCAGAGCTGCCAGGAAAGTAGTCACCCACGCTCAGCTGCTGCTGATTCTTCCAAGCACTCAGAGCGGGAAACATTCCCGGCAAACTGCCAGGAGACCCAGGTGCATTATTGGGGGATCCTTCCCACAAATCACCACAAAGGCCTATGCTCTCCTGCAGCATTGCCTTTCCAGAGCACCAGTTCTGCGGGACATTCAGAAAGGCTCCTTGAAAGGAGTGTGTCAGGTGAAGTTAGTCTTTGCCGGACATCCCCCGGGGACGTGAACGCCTCCGAGCGGAGGAGAGCACGTCCTGTACGGTGTTACCCGACCCACGGCCACTCCAAAGGGCACTGCTCTCCTCAGCACAGCAGCTCTGAGGATGTTGCCTTCAGCCAAGCTCCTGCTCCCCCCTCTCCCAACCCTCCCCAACCTGCTCTCCTTCACAGGCCGAGCCAAATAGGTCCCCCCTGACCTGCCATTGTTGTAGGTCACGCAGGTGAAGTGCTTCAGCAGTTTGGTGGCGATGATGTGTGGAATTCCAGGTCCCAGGGCGCCTACGACACAAAGGAGTTGGTCATTTTCTGTTGGAACCTTCAGGCCGCACGTCCTCCAAGAGCTGGGAGAAGCAGCCAACAATTCGCCAGTGTTACTAACAAAGCCATGTGGCAGGAGCAGCAGGGCCCCCAAAACAAAATGGCTACTTTCCAATGAAAATATGTTCCTGTCAGATGAAACTGCCCAGAGACATTTGTGAAGGGATGATAACAAGAAAGAAAAAAAATGGCCGAGACCGGTTTGGCTCAATGGATAGAGCATCGGCTTGGGGACTGAAGGGTCCCGAGTTCGATTCCGGTCAAGGGCATGTACCTTGGTTGCGGGCAAATCCCCAGTAGGGGGTGTGCAAGAGGCAGCTGATCGATGACTCTCTCTCATCGATGTTTCTAACTATCTCTCTCCCTTCCTCTCTGTACAAAATCAATAAAAAAAAATATATATATAAAAAAAAAGAAAGAAAAAAATGAGGCCTAAAGACACAGAATTCATAAAATGTAAAAAAGTTAGTAGATTGTAGGAAAAGCTCAGGGAGAGAAAAAGGGGACATTGGAATGTGAACATGAGAATTATTTTTAACCAAGTACCGAAAAACAGACGCTCCGATGCCCAATCACAGTAATGACACTGCACACAGC